TTTTTCATTGCTTTGATATCTGTGATTTGGATTCTGTGATTTGGATTTGTCAACTTTAGCTTGTAATAATTGAACTTCTAAGGTTGACTTCTGATGTTTTCAACGTGTCACATACTTTCAGATGAGACAAAGAAGAAGGTTGAAGCCAAGTTTAACGAGTTAGGTGACATGTGCGAAAGAGGAGAGATAGAACCTGAGAAAGCTTATGACTTATTCAAGGAGTTTGAAGATCAAGTGGTTATGGAATGTGCTGAGCTAATGGAAGCAGAGAAGCCCCCTGAAGAAGATGAACTTGTTGAACACGACAAGAATGTAAAATTGGATGATCCTCCGGGTGAGGGTCCAATCTTGAGGTGGGAATCACGTGTTGTTTTTGGTCCTGGTGGTGATGCCTGGCATCCAAAGAACAGAAAAGTTAAACTGTCGGTGACTGTAAAAGAGCTGGAGCTTTCAGGATATGCTTTCAAACGGCTACGGGAGGTAGTTGGAAAACGTTATCATCCTGGTAGAGATGAGCTCACAATTACTAGCGAAAGGTATGTTGAATTTCACATTATAAATGCACACCTATTTTTATAAAACGCATGTGCTTAATTTTTGTGTCCTGATTTTTGTTTTCCTCTTCCTCGCCTGTTGTGATGTTTAGATTGATTTTAAGGTCGTCCAGCGCTATAAAAACTTGACTAAGAGAGAGGCAATTTTATTTATCTTCAGCTTTTAGAGCTTTCATACAACTACGATGATCACCATCAAGAAACGATGGAAAATGTACACCTCACTCCCTAGTACGATATGTTCCATAAAAAATATGCATTTTTTACTTCAGCTTTTTGGAATTTCATGCTACTGCCAGAATTACCATTACTAAATGATTGAATGTGTAAACCTCCCTCCCTTTTGGTGCTTATTATGTTTGAAATGGTCATTTTTCTTGGTTCCTTATAATAGTTTGTCTTCGAATAAGATTCCCAATCTTTAGAATTCCAGAAAAATTTTCTTTGGTCTTTTGAGTTTTAAATGAATTTCTTTAAAGCTGTTTTTTTAAATGAGCTGGTAAAGTGCTGTTATTTATATGAATCTCTTATAGGCCCCCTGCTTTTATATGTGTAAATAAGTAATTATTACTATATGCAACTGTAAGTAGTGACTTTATGGGTAGAAATAGGAAGTGTTGGATACAAATATAATACCGAGACGTGAGAGAAAATTCGAAAAAAATGAAAAGCATTTCTTGGTTCAACTAATTGGCGACAGGTTCAAAAATCATCAACAGTTCAAGGGGCTGAGAATACATTTCTTAATTGGATTTTTATTTTGTTGCAAATTAGCAGCCATGGTCTGTTATGTTTCTTTTTCATAATTTATTGTATGGCTTTCATAAAAGATGGACCACTCTTCTTTTTGTCGATTACTTAAATGTTTGAATGTGGATGTGTTCCATGGGCTTTTGGAGTGCATGCAGAAAGAAAGTACATGTACTTAGACGATCTTTCTTTGTTGCAAGGTTTGAACACCGAGAGGAGAACAGGAAGGACTGTTTGAGGACTCTCTACGCACTGATTGAAGACGCAATGAAAGCTGATAAATTGGTGGAAGAAGCGAGGAATGCTTATGTCAAAGATCGACTTAGAGCTAACCCAAAATTTATGGAGAGGTTAAAGGCCAAGACTGCAAAGATGCAGGCAGCTCTACCTGCAGCTGTGTGAAATTTCACTAAGGAAGCCTTCGACATTAGGATCGCGATATTTTGTTGATTTCTAAGAAATTTCATGGGGGTAAAGATAGGTTTTCTTGCATACGCATGGAAAGTTTTTGCTTGAAAGCCTCTCAACTAGTTCTGTATAACTAGCCAGGGTTCTTTTGTTGTTCTTCCGCCAGTGTTGGATACAGACTAGCGTGCCAGTCATATATAAAGGGCAGATTCTGTAATTTTTCTGAGGCCATGTTTGAGAGGATTAGGAATAAATTTTGACGACTTGTAGTTTTTGTTGTTTTTAAAAGCTGTAGCTTACCGAGAGATACTTAGCAGCATATATTTTGGTTCGTTGAACAAGTTTTAAAATGGTAAATATATGCATTTCCTCGTTCTCATGGTTGTTTGTTTTATGTCTAATAACTCTTGGCATTTGGGTTTGTTTGTTTATTTTTCTGAGTTTTCGAGAATTACCAACTTGAATATGAATCATTTATGTTTTTTATTGAGGAAAGAAATACTTTCGTGTTGTAGACCGGTATGTATACAATATTGCAATCTTAGGATGGGGGTTAATTTCGCATAACTCTCTTGAATTTTATTTATTTTATGTAACCCTCTTTAAGTTTCACCTCATCCTTTTCAAAAAAAAAAAAAAAAAAAAGTTTTCACCTCATCTAGGCTCTGTTTGGCAAAACTAGCTGAAAACTGTGAGATTATAGCTGAAAGCTGTTAAGCTAGCTGAAAGCTGCGAAATTGTAGCTGAAAGCTGATAGCTGTGTAGCTAGCTGATTGACTAGAGCTGTTTGGCAAAAGTAGCTGTACAACTAGCTTAAATTTATTAAATGACTAAAAAGGACATGTTATATTATTGATATAAAATTAGAATTATTAGGAGCAAAAACGGAAGAAAAAAAATTAACAGCTCATTCCCAAATACAAACGCTACTTGAGTTAGCTTTCCAAAAGCTACTTGCAAAAGACACAATCTTCAAAATAATCTCCTCTTATTTTTTGTCACCAAACAGCTCTACTAGCTTATTGACCAAGTCAATAAGGCACAATCTCTTAGATAAAACACAATCTCTTGTTGCCAAACAGTGCTCTACTCTTCCTATTTGTAATTAGCAAATAAGTAAAACTTTATTGAGTAAAAAAAAAAAATCTCAAAATGTGTCTTTTTGTCAGTTACGTGCAATGAACTTCATCCCCTAGAATTTAAGTTTTTTTCCTTCACAAAGAAATTTTATTTATTTATAAATTATACCATATATAGGAGATCCGGTGTGAAAAGTTTAAAGGCTTTTTTCACACCGGATCGGGGGATTATGAGAACCTGGAAGGGTTAAATAAAGTTTAGGGGTTATGTGAAAATGCCCCGGAGGTTAGTCAAATTAGCCCTTAAATGATGTCTGAGATTTAAGATATACACGTCAATAACCGAAAAATGAAAAAGAAATGCTATATGTAAAATCCCAAGTATTAAACACAACACAAATTTGGGTTTCTTCAACTTGCCTCTGAAAAAAAAATCCAAATCCAAAATTCTAAAAGTTCTACCTCACTCTCTTCCCCCTCGTCGGCGCTCCCCCCCCCCCTCGGGGAGATCGAAGTGAAGCTTTCTCGTCCGAGTCGCATCTATCGCCCAGGAGTAAGCCCTTCTTCGAGCTCTTCACTCATCTCTCTCTTTCTCAAGTTTGATGCCAAAATCTTGTTTCAGGAGTCAATCGAAGGCAAGATCATCACAAACTCCTCCTCCGCAATCTCCTACCATAAAATCCTCGTCACAGCCACCGGCACCGTCAATCTGCAGGTGATTTTGTAAACAACCCCTTGGCTTATGTTCTGTTTACTTAACCAAATGTTGGGGATTAATTTGTTTCCTGTATATGGGTATTTTGGTAAAAGGTTCGAGGTGGGGTTACTGGGGTGATCGAGTCGCTTTACAGTGTGGTGAAGCCCATCTCTATCCTGTGAGTTGCCTTTACATCTCTATCAAATTATTCGAACATATCCAGAAATTACTAAATTTCATTCATGTAAAAAAATTGGTTCTAAACTAAAAGGGCAAATGACATTGTATTGTCTTAATGTTTGTCGGAATCACAATAAATCCCCTAAAGTTTAAAAGTGATACATTACTCCTCAGTTTTGGTTTCTAGCCGAACAGTCATTATTTTTTGATACAACCATGATCATTTACATGTTGATGCGGTGGTAGAGATAATTGACTTATTCTATGACCATGTTTTGTGTCCACATTGAACTTCATGGACTTTGAAACAAAGGGCCTTTTATTTTTGAAGCCTTAGGATGGTTTTCTGTGGACCATGCAAACTCTAGCAGAATTTTGTTTAATTTACCCTAAATAAAATTATATTTGTCTCTCTAAAGCCCATAATTGTATATGTATGAACATATTTTGATATTCTGAGCTCATTCCTTAATCGAATGTTCCGTACAAGTAGAAAAACTAATGGCTTATTATTTCTTGTAACAAAGAATTAGCCATGTGAACAGAGTTGAACACTAATGGAAGCAAGTTCCTTCTCATGGGGAATTTGAGCTTGGAGAATATAGTGAAGATAAAAAGGTTTTTTTCTATTATAGAAAGAGTAAAGAATGAAAACTGAGTGAATAGAGAATGTGAAGCAAAGGATAAATAGTTGGGAAATAAGGTCTATTGGAATATAAAAAGTTCACTAAAGGTGTGTTTGGTCATTATTCATAGTTCAATAAATTGTGGGGTTTACCACCAAGTTAAAGCCAGATTAATGGCTTGTTTGGATTGAGGGGAATAAGGGAGAAGGGAAGTTAGGGGAACCATTCACCTTGTTTGGGAACATTTAGGAGGTGAAGTTATTCACCCTAGTTCCCCTTAGTTCACCCCTTAATAGTATAAAATTTGTTACCCCCCAAATTGGGGTGTAACCAAGGGGAAGGGAACTCCCTTCCCTTCCCTTCTCTTCTCTCACCTAGTTTCCCTTAACTTAAGGGGAAGGGAACTCCCTTCCCTTCCCTTCTCTTCTCTCACCTAGTTTCCCTTAACTTCCCTTAACCCCCTTGAAATCCAAACACGCCCTAAATTCTTCTTTAAACTCTGGAATATGTGCGAGAAACTAAGGAGCACTCTCCTTCCCTTTTCTTTACGTCTCCCTCTCTTTCATGTCTCCCTAGCTCAACATATCCTCTTTTCATTCAACTCCATCTTGGACATAAATCCATTTGGCATCCAAACAGACTGCAAAGAAGTGAAACTACAATTTGGAAATCTGTGTTGTGATGATTGCAGAGTACAACTTACAAACTTCTAACTACAACTTAAGGATAACTATGATTTATATTTCTTTAGAGCCAAATAGGCCTAAATTATTTGATTCACATAAGGATTCTAGATACATAGGAATAACCATGTATGAGGTCCTTTTCCATGCTCCACAAGTTTGGGTAAGGGCCAGGGACCTACAGGAGTGACCGTCGACGCCTACCTTAGTTTGTAGTTATCTTTCTAGAGATATGTCACTCCAAATGGAAATCAATTTCTGTCCTATTTCTTTTTGCTGATTGATCCCTCATCTGTTAAATAACCTGCAAGGAGTTATTTCCCTAGATCCTTTAGGTCATTTGAATCTTTTTTTTAATCAGACCCTCTGCTCTCTGATTATTTGATAATAGCCTGAATTCCTTGTCATATTTCTTCAATTGGGATCCATAGGCCTTGCCTTTGCTGTGTGTTGTCCTTAAGCTTTTATTTTAAAAATGAAAAGCAATCATTTCTGTTGACTATGTTTCCATGCCTTTGATAACTTCTTTATTTAGCATGAGTGATCCATTTTCTTTATCCATGTATTAATTATGTGAAGTCTAGCATGACTAGCTATAAGTAGCATGTAAACAATTTTTCAGTTAGAAGTATTTTCTGAGAAAATCGTGTTAATGGTATGATGCTTATGACTTGTTTCATATTTTTGTTTTGATTTGTTAATCACAAATATAAGTGGGGAATTCATTATTTTTATTCGTTCTCTTCCTGAAAATATATACAAATTCCATCAAAATGCAATACGTTATCAGCTTTTCATCTTCTTTCCTAATAGTAATTTGCACTCCTTTTTATATGATTAAAAGCCTAAATCAATAGACATAGATGGTTGTATTATTCATACTTATAATAAAAACAATGGTGGACATTGCATGTTCTGAAATGATTATGGATTTGCCATGTGCCTTGGTTGTCCTGTATCTTCAAATCTTCACCCTGTATTAGTACCATACACCATTATTAAGAGCGAATACTCCATGTTACTTCTACATTTCTGAAGTCTTACAATGAAAGATGTAGTATTAGAATATATTGAATTTGGATAAGTAATGCTTCTTTCTCTGCTTTATTGTTTTGTTTTAAACTTATCCTATGAGTTACCATTAGTATGCTACCCAACCCCAACGCGCTGCTCGCTACTCCCAGACCCCCTTCCCACCACCAATTTTTTTTTCTTTTTCTTCCAAAAGCAATCCAAAGAAAAAAAAAAATCAAGAAGGTCTGTCTCTGACCCTCCTCTAGTGGAAATCTTAGCTAGGAATTTAGTATTCTTTAGGTAATCGTGGCACAGAGCACTTTAAGATCTAAATTTTCATACCGATTCATAGAGTTAGGGGACCTTTCAACAGTCCATTTAGATTGGCCTTACCCGCTATTAGATCTCCCCTTGCTCTAGAAGCGAGAAAAGTGAGGGCTTATGCTTACACAGCTACAGGGATTTCCATCGCCTTTTGGAACCCATCATTGACGTTTTGTTAGTCGAGTCAACCTTGATTCGGCGCTTGAAATTGCAACTTCCTTTTTCTCAGTCGGGGAACTCTTTCTGCTTGGATGGAGCATGCAATCTGGAACCTATTAGGAAATCACATTGGGTCCCACTGCTCATCATGATTTGGGCAGTTAACCTAGGGATGCAAATGGTTCTGAGGATACAGATCGATATTCCATTTATCATATCCATACCCTTTTATGAGTTTCAGATATGGATACGAATATAGATACACTTCTATAACAAAAAAATCCATATTCTCCATAGTCGGAAATGGATACGGATCAAATACGAGAGCAACAAATATGGATGTCATTCAAAAAATAAGGAAAAAACAGATATGGTCCAAATGTGAGCATAAATTGAATTTAATTCCTTTGATGTTGTATTAAATAGCTACAAGCATAACTTGAAATCTTACATATAATCAAATTTGAAGTTATCAGAGTTGCATATAGTGACATCACCCGACTTAGTATTGTTAAAAAATTAAAAATAATTAAAGAAACTTAATGTTTAAGATAAAAAAAATCTTTTCCTAAAAGTGTATTGGTAAAGGTTTTGTCGGGTACCTGCATAATGTCTTATCAGAAAGTAAAACATAAAGGATTCATACTAGCATCCACTGTACAATCGTATACAATAATGATGATTTTGTTTCTTTATCTCTTTTATGTGACTTGTATGTGTGACGCTTTGCATCTCATCAAGTCACATATTTTCTCAAAAACATTGCCACTTCACGAGTCTTTAGGGAAGTGTGGGTGTCAACTCAGTGCACCCATTCATAATACGAGAATAACCGGATACCAAATTTGAATCTGGTTTTCGAACAAAAACCAGATCTGTATTCATATCCGGTTTTAAATGGTATAAGATATCCGGATTGGGATTTGTAACTATCCAGATTTGGATTTTGATATACAAATTTGTGTCCAACTCAAATACGGATGCATATCTGTTTGGATTTATCCTGATTCCTGATACATTTGCATCCCTAAGTAAATCCTCTATTCCTTGGAATGCTACCAGACTACTACCCCTTAAAGTAGGTTTAGAGTTCAAAACCTAGTAATCTTTTTTGTTTACATAAGAAACCTGCAATGGAGAGTTGTTCTAGACGACCCAAATATTCTTGATAATATAAACCATTTTGTATCTGATTATTTTCGAATTGGCAAAAATCCAGAGGATTGCTGTTATAGATAGTGGACAGAGGTCCTGGGGTTATTTTATTTTGTGCTTAATGTGACATAATGTATTCACATGGAGATATAAACCAGTGGTAGAGCCACCTTTGAGCCAAAGGCAAATTGTAAACAAAACAAGTACAGATGATTAGTTTGCTAATAGTAATTTTATAGGGAGCAAAATATGTAAATGCATATGATACAGATGCAGAACGACTATTGACGAAGGTGGAGGGTGAATCAAAGAAGCTATTTTCTTTTCTTTTGGTTTCACTGAATCACTGGAAATAAAACAAGGTAAAGAAGGATAAAGAGAACAAACCTGGTGCTTTCGAAACCAAAATTTGGCTTGATTTTGTCTTTTGTGAAAGCATAGTGGCAAAGTATTCACGTGGGCTTTGAAGGATGTGTTTTGGATTTGGGCTCTATTGAATTGGGCTATTTAGATATTCATATTAGTCCCTCAAATCTTCAAGACTTATGTGCTAATCTCTCAAATCTTGCAATTTGGTTGCTCAACATACAAAATACCCTCCCCTCTTTCCTTCTCAACCTGAATCCCCCCAAGTCGCACAACCCAACTGCCGTATATATAGGTATATATATCAGTATAGTATATATATATAGTATATTATGATATGTATAGGAGCAAAACTTGGTGGTCCACGCTTAAGTGGAGCATGGCACTAGAGCTTTTTAACCCCTTAGATGTTTCCTAGGGTGACTGGCATGATATGAAGTTGACTTTTGTATATGTTAAATGAGTGGATATAAAGTGGTGGACCACTATTACGTATCCACTTAGTTGTGTTTGGACACAAGTTTCTACTGTATTATATATATATGATAGGTAGTTATAGTTATATATATATATCTGTATAGGTAATATACGTATATATAGTATATATTAGTGTATGATATTTAGTATTAATATGATGTATCTAAGGCGTCACCTTAGGAACACTTCTCCCTATAATAATATATATATACTATAATATTATTATATATATCATTATATATAGTAGGTTATATATAGATATATGCCAGCTTGAGTGGATTGTGAAATGTCGGGTTAAATAACTAATTATCAAGACCCCCTTCGCCCTATGTTTTATAAAATCTAATGTCTGCAAAGAGTAAACAACTAGATTCTGCCTCTACAAAAAAGTGAAGTAGTAGGAATCTTCTAACTTAAATGATTGAAACTACTTTATTCTCGAGATCAAAATTTTGACAACTATTCTGATCAGCTTGCTTTGATGCTCAGCAAAAGAAGCATCGATGTTACTGCACCAGCTGGAAGGTTAGGCCCTGGTAAGACGGAGGTACCAATCTCTCACGTTTACTAGATTCGTATTAGAAAATAGGAATGCTTCTTTTTTTTTGATTTGCTTGTCTTTAACTTGTTTGTCTCAATTGTATATGTGCCATCTACTTTGTGCATCAGTGAAATTTGATTTTTGTCATACATCTTGTTATATATTCAGTTAGTTTGTATCAATAGATTGTTTGGTCTGTGTTATTATGCTTATTTTCTTTGATTATTAACTTAAACATCATTCTTACAATATTATTTGATAACTTCCAAGAAATCCTCCTCCATTGGGAAACAAAAATAAAGAAAAAAAGAGATCATGGAATACAAGGGGGTAACATATTACCCAAGACTTAATGTTCTGGTATGCTTGTTAGAAACTATCCAAATTATTATCCCCTGTACTCTTATGGCCATCTACATGAAAACTAGAAGTTCTCAATAGGATGGAATGATTTTATTTTTATATTTTTATGTTCAATATATAATTTATGTTTTTGCATTAAGTTAATAAAGCATTAAATTAATAAAACATGGTGAAATTATATCATTGAGTGACTTAAGAAAACAATAGAATCTTACTCAAAGAAGATTATTGAGGTAGTTTTTTTTTCTTGCAATTGCAATACTACTCGCAAATACACCTTTTGGTCAAAGGTCATTCATTCGTTCCTTCAATCCTTTTTCTCTCTTCTGATAGCTGGAGTCGCCTGTGCTGCATATACCTATAAATTGGGATGAATTTCACATAAGCTCCCTAAAGTCTGTCCTATCTTGAGATACAGAAAAAGCTTCTAAAAAGGTCCCATAACACTGAACAAAATTTCCTATGTGCATAGCACGTGATAAAAAATGATGAAAATACCCCCCACTGCAAAAAATCATTATTTATTCTTTTTAATAAGTTTTTTTGCATATATTTTCCTCGTCTTTTCAATCTTCTCCCCTAGCCCATGGGTCATAGTGATACCGTTCCCCTCCCCATGCCTTTATATCTCTCTCTATAACCCTATACCTAACAAAAAACAATTATTCTAACCCCATTCTGCCTCTTTCTCTCTCCCTAACCCTAGCAAAAACCCGTTTTTGAGCTGCTTTTCGTTTTGCATCTGCTTTTAAGCAGGTTTTTTTGATGGGAAAGTGGCTAAGGGCATAAAACGCTTAAGCGGCAGCTTAAGCGGGCTTTTTGCTGCTTTTTTAAAACACTGCAGGACCCAAGTAATCCCATATTACGCAAAATTATTACCCTCATATGTAGGAAATCCAAATAATTCCGCACACTAATCAATTTTAGAAGTTTTCCGGTCAACTGATTTCGTTTTCTTATCAAAACTGTATCCTGCTTAATGTATGAGTCATACCTATCTTTAACAAGAGTGGTCGATCATGTATCTCTGATGCCAGGTTCCATTTTCCTTCGTCTTGAGCTCAGAAGATATTGACAATCGCGGGAGAATCTATGAGACATTCCATGGTGGGAATATTAGTATCCAGGTAATATATCTTCACTATAAGGATCTTAGTTTAAGAACTGCCATAGTATATTCAAGCTTTACTTTTGTTTCACAGTTTTGCAGCATGAAATTAATATGTTCTTCAACATTAATATGTGTAATGGTGTCTAATTCTTCAGCCATAGTATCTAATTACTGCAGATATAACAAGAGGTTACCTACATAAATCCTTATCTGCCACTGTTGAGTTTATAGTTGAAAATGACAATGGTAAAGACTATTTTATTGTTTTCATTAACATCTATTACTTCTCTTATCTCCAGTACTAACTTTGACATAATACATGCTTGCAGCGAGTCTCTTGGTGTCATCAGCTTCACCCGAACTGGTTACCTTTTACATTACTCAGGATACCCAGAAACATCAATTGCTCCCTGAACTTCAAATAGGTGTCTTGATGCTCTCTTTCAGTGTTCCACTTGCTATGGTTATTTGGATATAAAATTGGAATGAGCTTGCTTCATAATCAGCTGATTCGTTTTGTTAATGAAAATTTATTTGTTAATTAAGCATGCGATATTCTCCTAATCTGGGTTATTTGTAAATAAGTGAATAACTTTAATGTTGTCACCATTAATTTTATGTGTTTTGACTAAAATACCATAGCGAGTAATCCTTTTGAATGTAGATTTTAACTAAACCTCTCTCTATCTCATCGTCTTTCCTCCTGTTTTTTACAACTTTCTGAGTCTCCCTATCCCCCGTCATATGAGTTCTCTTCTATCTCTCACTTTCTTATTTCATCAAGCCCTTGGTCTCTCACTCTCTCTTCTCTCCCTCTCCCTCTCTCCCTCTCTCTCATGTCATATGAGTTCTTTACTATCTCTCACTTTCTTATTTCATTGAGCCCTTAGTTTCTCACTCTCTCTTCTCTCCGTCACACACATTTTGTCTACACCTCAATTTCCTTCTTCTCATTCTTTTTCTTCCCTCTCCCTTTCTTTGCTTCTTACTAACGTCATATGCTAGAACATTCCATTATTTATTGTACATATCCTGGATATGTAATGTGCACGTTTGCTTATACATATGAAATATTATTGAATTCTCTTTTCCTGAGGTAATTATGAAGACATGCGTGGTATGAGAAGATCCAATATTTTGCATATGTTAAAATTTTAATTAGCTTGTGCCTATAACATTAGTTACTGCTTTTGGAACTAGTCTGTTGGAAAAATATTAGAGACTCATTCTATTGTGCAATTCTCATTGTTAGGAGTATACTTATGCAATTCATAAGAACTCTGAAAAGGAATAGCAATTCATAAGTTTGAATATATTATCTTGCACATAAGCTGCCTAAGAACATTTTTAGTGTTTACTGCTTGAAATCATCATATAACTTTTAGCAAAATAATCTTGGAATTGTTGTCTTCCTATATATCATCTATTTTCAGAATCTCTTACCAAAGTCCTGCTGTCACCTTTGGATGCCATCCTGGCTATTTTCTAAATACATTAATTTCCCCCTGTATATACTTTGGTTATACTTCTCCTAGCGGATGAAAACTTGAAATGGGTGTTTATTCATCTCTTATTCAAGATCAAGCCTTTCTTTTTTACTGCTTTCTGATACCTTTGTCTTCCTTAATTTTCCATTTTGAGAAGTCACATGTACTCACCGAGAAACAGTTGCATTTTGGTTGTACTATTACGTCATCTTACATTACTATTGTACGCCTCAGGTGTCTTTGGATTAATGACATAATATTTTGGGCAGGCCATTTCTGCGTCACGGGGAAAATCTCAACACAGTGTTCTTTGGCAGATCCCCTTAGTGGAGAGCTCACTGTTGAAACTTCTGCGGTTCCAATAAAATCTATTGACATACAGTTACTTCGTGTTGAATCGATTCTTGCAGGAGAGAGAATTATTTCTGATGCATCAGTTGTCCAGACAACACAAGTAAGATGCAAGCTTTATGTCTTTCTTTTGTAGCATACTTCATAATGAGTTCTAATTCTGCAACATCATAATGACTTCTAATTCTGCAACTAACTTCATTTGTGTGTCAGATAGCTGATGGAGATGTTTGTCGATCTATGACTCTTCCAATCTTTGTTTTACTTCCTCGTCTTCTGGTGTGCCCAACAGTGTTAGCTGGGTAAGCGTCTCCAACATTTCAAGTATACTTCAGATGTTTTTGTTTAGAAGATGACACTGTGTTCAATGCAGTTATTATAATTTTACCATACTGATTTTAGCCAAATCTGTAATATATGTAGTTGAATTAATGTTAGGTCTTAAGTTTCTGTTGAACTAGTCCTTTTTGTAATTTCGGTCACTGAATCAATTGCACATTCATTCATGTTGAACTTGACTAAGTAAATATTCTGAATTGTCTTGCATTGTACATTCTGTGCCTTTGTAAAGACAATCAAATATCTGATTCTGAAATGTATAAATGAAAATTCGGAAAAGTCGTTGTTAGTGGTTTATGTTTTCCATCAAGCCCAATAATGCAATAAGGGAAGTTCTAATGTGGGACCATGTGAAGGATGACCTTTAAGTTCACAAAACACTGGTGGAGATGGATAAAGTTAGAAGTTTTACCTTCAAAGTACAGTTAGGGGTCTGCTGCTCAGATAAGTTCACAACACTGGTGGGAAGATTATCGATCATGTCCTTGCCCTTCCATATTTCCACTTTCGAAGTCGAAACTTCCTTCTCGAGGAGAAAAAAGCAAAGTAGACTACTAAAGTAAGTGACACATTAGTCATGCCATGCTAACTTTCCAATCATTCACTTTCCTGAAATAAAAGAAAGTTGGCATTGGAAAAAATTTAAAGTAATTAAAAGAAATATTTTCTAGGACATGGTTTCTCCATTATCAAAATTACCTATATGATGTGTAACAGGAAAAATTCTATTTTGAAATTGACCAGGTTATGAAAAAGACTGACACTCATGTTAGAAACCATCATCTCCCAGTCATTCAAATGTTACTCTTAACTTTCTAGAAGATGACGGCGACGTATGTCATCTTTTGGTTTTGAACATATCATAACTTATGATAGCTTTAATACACTCAATATTTGTTGGTCTCTTTCAATTAAAGTATAGTGGTGAACTATAAATGTAAGTAAATAAATAAGTTAAACTATAATTATAAAGTAAATAAATATGTTAAACTATAGTTATAAGAAAGTGTACAAGAAATGTAGAACACAGGTCTAGGGAGTGTCTTGTAAGTATCCTAGATTAAAATATGTACCGTATGATATTACTAGAAATATTGTCGAGACTTTTGGGTGCATCAAATATGTTTATAGGCCCATGTAACATTAACTCTTTCTAAATAAATATTTTAATATTACGTCACATGTCCCTGTGTACTATGTCCTATTTAAGGAAGTGATGTATCCAGTGTCTATATCCATGTGTGACATACCTGTGTCTCGCGTCTATATTCAAGCTTCTTAGGTTTTCACTTTCGCAGTGGCAAGCATGTTCTCCTTTCTCCCCTCCCTCAATATAAAGAAGAAGCAAATACTTACACATAGAGATATATTTGTTTTTTTTAATTGAGACAGCCAATACCTACCCGCGCCCGCCCTCTCCCCCCCCAATCAGGTATAATTGGTAATGTTAATGCACTTGAGTTAGACGCTACTGAACCTAATTGACAGTGTCATGGGGCTAAAATAATATTAAGTCGTAAAAATGATAACATATCAGCTATTACCACTTGATCTGCAACAGGGGCGGAGCCATATAGGGCCCAAGAGCGCTGGCCTCCCCTTGGATCCTTAAAAAAAGGTAATAGGGAGTGCTAGGTAGGATTTTTAAACTATAGAGTTTAAAACGAAAAACCCTCCAACAGAAGAGAACCCTTTTTCTTTTCTCCAGTGATCTATTGGCGAGACTTTTATTTTTTTCATTCAATTGTCCTCCTGTTGTGACCGTGCACAATCGAGTCTTCTCCATCCATCTCTGGCCTCCTTTGGCTTCATCTCGCCTCCTCTGCCTTCATCCTTGTTTGTCCTCCTCCACTCTCATCCACACTTGTCTGTCCTCCTCTGCCCTCATCTGGCCTCCACCGAACCTCATCCGCCGTCATTGTCATTCAGCGTTCTCTAGCCTCATCCGCCTTATATTAAAAGAGATATAATTTATAACATTGACGAGGAAGATGTAATGTAACGGTTTCAAGAAATAAAAGCAAGAAGAGTTTTATTGTAAATACTATGTTTTCATTGGAAATATGATATAAAAGTCTTATAACGTAATGATCTTTAGATGCTAATCAATTACGAAAATAAAAATTTGGGACCCCCTTGATGAATTTCCTGGCTTCGCCATTGAGTATGGATGTATCATTTTCAAAAATATTGGGTGGTATTTTGAATTTTATTCTCCCTATTGTTGAATTTGGGATGAAATTTTTGGTACTGGTCTAAGTTTCTATTTGTGTTTAAATAAGGGGATATAACAGTTTAAATTGGAAAGTATCTGATTCAGTGCAATAATTCAGTTGGAGCCTAGAGTGTGGGTTAAAACAATTTATGAGGAAGATTTAACTAAGATAAAGTGGGCAACCTAATATTATATGGTTTAGTTTATTGGATTATGTAGTACCAAATATGATAAGGAGATTAGTCTAACTAACTACTCTAATTTATTATTATTATTATTTCTATTTGAAACAGATTTTCTTGTGTATCTAAAAAAGAATGGCTTTCAGCTTTGAACTAGTCTTTTCGCCTTTCAACCTTCACAATGAGGGAGCTATTGGCTATGTTTTGAGCGGTTGTCTACTATCGCTAAGTAAAGAGTGGTTCAAAGTTCAAAGGGTTCTTCTCTAGCTCTTGTGAATATTGTCATATGGCCTTTGCCCATTATATATAATCCAAAGTTTTTATTCAATATGTTTATTTGAGGATTGTATTTAGGGGTACTAAACCGTATCCGTATCCGAGAAAGTATCCGTGACCGTATCCGTTAGGATACGAATATGGTTACTCAAATCTATAACCGATAGAATATGGTTACGGATATGATTTTGTAGTGAAATATCCGGATCCATATTCAAAATATCCGAATACATATTTAGTCATACTGTTACGATAGTTTTAATCTTTAGATTATGGATTTAAGGTTAATTTTGATTATCAACATGTCTAATATTAGCTTTTCAAATATAATGAACCTATTAATGAACTCTTTTGTATCATATGAACTATATTTTTTTCAATAGTATCTAGTTTTCTCATATCCATTTTGCATCCGCATGCATATCCGATTTTAGTGGATATGGATATGAATTTTTCTTACCGAGATATATCCGTATCCGTATTTAAGATGGGTAAGCAGACATGTATATGATAAGTATCATATCCGAGCCATATCCGGACCGAATACACCCCTAATTGTATTTCATAATTTATCTTTCTCAGTGGACACGGGTTTTCCAATGATACAATGACTGGTTCCCTGCCCTTCCAATAACTGTCATAGGACTATAAACTCACTTCTTTTTTTCCTCTTCAAATTTAGTAATTTCATATTCCTTCATTAAATTTGAAAGTATGTCTGTATTTCACGTGTCCATCTTTGCTAAAATTAAGGACCAGAATTTGGTTGATTTTTATGCAGGTCCTTCTCGGTGGAGTTCCAGGTCTCTATAGTTATCAGCTTTCAGTCAGAATTGGCCAAATTATATCCCAAATCTGATCTTAGAACTCCAAGGCCATGGGTGAGTAATTCAATTGTAATTTAACCCAGAAAAGCATGATACCTACTAACATTACCTTTTATTTTCTATATATTCAGCTGGCAATGGTGACTCTACCTTTGAGACTTTATCGAGCAAGGTGATCTGATCAGCTTTACGTGACTCCAACCGGTGCTCATCTTGTCCGTTTGAACTCCAACGTATAATTAGTCATTTTACTGGGCTTTGCAACAATTTGATTGGTTCATATGATTCTTCAAAACTTGCATTTTGTGCAAGCTGACATTTTGCATGGAATTATTATACATTTGTAACGGGATTAATGTTGGAAAAATTGTAATGGGTAAATCTAGGTTGTATGTATAATTCCAGTTGTGGAAGAAATTGAGTTTGAAAATTTAAGGATTATAAATTTCCAAAGCTTTTGTGGATGAAAAATGTTTCTGTCTTTTAAGTCTCCAAATTGAAGTGATATCTGCCCATTTGAATAAATCAATGAAATTGGAACGTTATTTTGTTAAGTTCGGAAGTAATGTTCTACGTACTGATTTCTGGCCAACTTACAAATATCATCGTTTGGGGGAGTTCATCGAAACGAGGAAAGAGTTGGGACTTCTATATTAAGGCAAGGATCAATTACAATCTGATGTAATTATACAGATAACCTTAGAGTCTGCGTATCTACAAATTATAAGTATAAAGCGAATATGACACGCGCAAACTCGAGGGTCACCTGCAATTACACCATACATTAAGGTACCGGATTGTAGTTAATTCTTTAGACAATATATATGTTAAATAGATAATTATAATACATTTTCCACAATATAAATCCCTCCATAAAATTGATCACAAAATGTCGCCTCATTGCACGACACATCTCTCCAAAATAAGAGACAACAGAATCTTGTTTCTCGACAAAAAAGCTCAAGTTGGCAGATTTTGATTCTACCTTCCTGTCTGAAGCAAATCTCTATTTTTGTTTATTTGCAATGTCGGATTAAACTCTAACCCAATGGATATATCATAATTACAATATCATAAACACATGCATACAGGCTACAGCTACTGTTCTACATAATGACAAATAGGCCCCAACTACGTAGACATCATGAAAAGACTGGAAAGTTGAAGAAAGGTTCTGATCGGCGTCATATCTGTTTGTGGTTGGTTGGTATGACCCTTAAATGAGAGCTCAGAAAAGGCCAAATTGTTGGAAACATTTAGGAGGGGTTATTGGTTGGTGTAATTTTGAGGTAAGTAAGATAATTTTTAGGACTTCACTTTATGGTGTTATTCGTTGGGAAAGTGAGATTGAGATTTCACTTTAATGTGTTATTCATTGGGACAATGAGATTGGGACAATTACCCCAACTTTTCTCAAAATTATCTCATTTCTATACACACTTTTTATCCCAACCTCCAAAAATTACCCCATTCTTAACTTTGGGAGAATCATGAGAAAAGCGGGATAATTTCGAAGCACTAATTTATTAAATATCTAATATATGTTAATTGTATTATAATATATAATATATCCTAATTATATTATATTATAAAATTCTATTATAACGTAATATAATAAAATATTATATAATATTATCTAATATAACATTATTATATATCATTATTACATATTGGTTAATAATATTTCATATATTATAATATTAGTATTATATTATATATAATATTTTTATATTATTTAGTATATATTTTATTAGTTAGAATAAAATAATATTGTAGTATTTTATGATATAAAATATTGTATTATATATATAGTGTTTATATATTTAATATATAATATATTAATTATATTATAATTAATTTATTATATAATAATATTACATATTTTTATTATAATTTATTATATTAATTAATAGTCTTAAATATATTGTCAAATATTATGGTAGTTATAAATATTAAATAATATTTTATTACTACAATAAAAATTTATAATAAATTAACTATATATTAAAGTATGCATATATATAAATTAATATAATATATTATATTATTTAATACTATTTTTATTATAATATTGAACGTATTAATAATATTTATGATTATTATAAATATTATATTTTAATAAGGAGCCATGTCATTCAATTATTCTATTTAAATTATAAGTAATATATCATAAAATAAATAAAATATTATATTTTTATAAAATTTAATATTTAAACAAAATATTATAATATTTGATTAAATATATATTCAAAATATATTTGTTTGTATATTTTATAAAATATTATAAAATATATCATATTATTATAATATATATTAAATTAATTAATAACATTAAATATAGTTATAATTAATTAGTAATTATAATATAATATATTATAGTTTAGTATAAAGTAAAATAATGTATTACATTATAATAACATACCAAATAATATGCTAAACTAATTAGGTAAATTAATTTAGACTTAATTGATAGATAAATATTGTACTTTAATAATGTGCCATATCATCAATTATCCCACATGAATTATCAAATCAAACCTTCAAATTGTCCCATTATCCTAAATTGTCCTACTCAACGTGGAGAAAATCACAATCAGGTGATTTTCACCTTACTGCACAACCACAGTATTTTTTTGGGGGTTTTCTTTTGCCATATTAGTCTTCAGTATTTATAAATACTAGTTTTTACACACGTGCAATGCACGTGATTTAATACCATGATTAAGTATTTTTGACAGTTTGTGCTCATTTTTTTCTTTAAACTCTTACATCCCGATTATTTTTTTATGTTTGTTTAAATGGGATACACCCAATTTAAATTTTCATGTTGATATTTGAATTGACAAAAAACAAATATAATTTAAAAATAGTTTGAATTTTCATATTATTTTTGACCGATATGAAACTAAGCTTTATTTGAGAAAGTATAGCATTGCAAAGTAAAAAATATTAAAATAGTGTTATACAAGGAAGGTGAATATTTAAAATCAATATGGCAAAATGATTGATTTAAAGTATGTTAAAACGATACAAAAGAGAATATGAAGTTTATTCCTAATCATTGATAGACTTCATAAAAAAATATAAATTAAAGATTAATGCTAACTCTAGTATACTTTTATATGATAAAAACATCCACATAAGAATATAAAAGTACTGAAAAAAAATTCATGAAACTCCCTTCTAAAGATTCCTAATTTCACTCAAAATAATTAAACTATTCTATAAAATATTCATAAAATATTATTTTTATTTCTTCTATTTTATTTTTTATCGAGTTAAGATCAATCCTTCTTCAGGTTTATCATTTATCATTTCTCGGACAATTCTAGAGTATTGTCTTCATCATCTACATCAATTGTGACATCAGGCTAATTTTGTATTTTTATGCTATTATCTTTCCTAGGCTCGTTAATTTTTTATCATCTCATTTAACTTTACAAAGAAGTCAAATGTACTTATGATGTTCAACACAAACTGCTCAAAATATAGACTTTGATTTTTTTTCTATTTCAATGAGAATAAATATTAATTTCATATATATAAAATTCTTTGTGTTCCTAATTTATTACTTAAATAAATTAGAAGCTATCTCTTTATTTTCCTCTAAAATGAATTCTTCTGATGTGCATCCAATAAGAATTTCTGTTATTTCAATAATATTACCTTTGCTCTATCCCTGTCATTTTCCATAAAGATCTAAACTAAATACCTGCATTATTCATTACCAATTTCTCTTAGATTATAATATTAATATTTAATTTGAAGAACACAGTATGGAATTTATGAATACTTACTAATTTTTCTTATGTCTTCCATGGAGATTTTTTCTTTGATTAGGATAAAGTTATTAAATTATTTTTTAATGTAACTCATTCAGTGCTTCATTAATAGATATGTCTTATGTTAATGCCAATTCAAGTGATTCATTGACGTTTTCTGAATTTTAGATTTATTTCCATCACTTTCCCATTTGCAATGGAAATAACTCAATTCTTTTAAAGTTATCTCTAAATATTCTAATAGTTTCTCCATATGTAATTCCTTGTATTCTTTTACCCTATAAATATTATTAACGTCAAAGATTAAAGTTTCTAAATTAAAATCAATTAATGCTAAGGTATAATATTATAGTGTTTTATCATTTCTATGGATTTAAACATCTATCAATTAATGTTACGAATGTATTTTGGCTACCCCAACTTATTACTAAAATTATATGAAATTACTTTAATTTATATAGTGCCGATAATTTTTAATCTATAATATTTTTAAAAATTTTATCCATTAACCGGATGTTTTTAATCAATTCTTATTGTTTTTGTTTACCAGTATCAACTTAGACTATTCTTAGATGCTGAAAATGGATAGTAAATCCCTAAATTAGAAATTTTAATATATATATATATATATATGAAAAATACCAAACAATTACACTTTTCTTTGCCAAGTTTTAAAATTTTAGCCGATTTTTGTGGTTTTGAACTTTGAGGATGTGATTTATAATTTTTAAAATTTTGAAAGAGTTTTTAAAAAAATTTACTTTTAAGTTTGGTAGTTGTAAATTCTATGTTTCATGTGTTGGTGGTAATTTTTTAAATGTTAGTATATTTCTTGTAACTCTAAAATTTTGAGGGTGTCTTTTGCAATTATTAAAACTATAGATTAATTTTGAAAAATATTAAATTTTAGGGGTCTACCAATCGACGAATTTGATGTGTGCTAGTTAAAAATTTTGAAAATTTAGAGTTTGTTTTTACGATTTTTTAATTTTGAAGGAGTTTTTAAAAAAGTTTGAGGTTAATTTTGGTAAATTTTAAATTTTTAGGTGTCTAAGGGTAATATCTTGAATTCATCTTATTTTATTTACAAATTTTAGAATTTTAGGGTGGCTTTTTATAATTTGAACTTTTTTTTTTTTTTTGGTAAATGAAAATTTTTTATTCATCACCAAAATGAAGAATATATGTACATCAAGAATCTCAAATTGAGATATCAAAACAAAATACTTTCAACTAGTCTGTAGGGCTCTACTACACAACTTGTCCAAACTACCCAATAGGGGGAGCAAAACTCCCTGTTTTTATACACTGTTGCCTGTAAAAATTAGTGACTGCTGCATCCATTTCTTGCTTTCAGAATCTGTGTCACTGTTAATAATTGCAATCATCATAACCTCTTTAATCAGTTTAACTAACTGATCAACTGTCCTTGATTTTTGATTGAAAAGTCTTCCATTGCGCTCCATCCATATGCTATAAATTGATGCTGTTAATGCCAGTCTTTTGATATTATGTTTGAATCTTCCTCCCCGCAACCTGAAACAATACCAGTTTAGCACCTGATTCCAATCACAGCTTCTCCACTTGAAGCAAAGCCAGCCCATTATGTTGTTCCAGACCTCTTTAGAGAATTTGCAATTAAAAAATAAGTGGCTCCTACTTTCAG